GGTATCTAAAACATTGCAGTGCTATCCCTATCTTCAGCAGGTGATTTGTTATACGTATCTAAAACACTACAGTGCCATTCCTATCTCCAGAAGTTGATTTGTAAAGGTATCTAAAACACTACAGAGCCATTCCTATCTCCAGCAGGTGATTCATTAAAGGTATCTAAAACATTGCAGTGCTATCCCTATCTTCAGCAGGTGATTTGTTATAGGTATCTAAAACATTACATGCTACCCTATCTTCAGAAGTTGATTTGTTAAAGGTATCTAAAACATTGCAATGCTATCCCTATCTTCAGCAGGTGATTTGTCCAAGGTATCTAAAACATTACAGTGCTATCCCTATCTTCAGCAGGTGATTTGTTATAGGTATCTAAAACATTACATGCTACCCCTATCTCCAGAAGTTGATTTGTTAAAGGTATCTAAAACACTTCAGTGCTATCGCTATCTACAGAAGGTGATTCATTAAAGATATCTACGAACTTTCAATGCCATCCCTATCTCCAGAAGGTAAATTGTTAATGGTATCTACAACATTGCAGTGCCATTACCTCCAGCAGGTGATTTGTTAAAGGTCTCCACAATACTTCAACACGAGCAAGGTTAACTAAACCAGTTTCAAGAAGCTTTGCAACAGCAAACAAAGATGGTTCCTAGAAAGACAAATATCTATATTATTCTGTAGCTAAACTCAAACTCCATAGTAAAAAAACAGCTTTTAGTAATTGCTTTCAATACCCAGAGTATGTACTACTTCTTATAATAACAGATGCCAGTACATAAATATCAAAAACATTCACTGTTTTCTACTCTTAAATCAAGATTCCTCCACACTTTTCTAAAAAATAAAATCTACTAATTTGTAATTAAGTTTAGTAATTAAAATTTATATAACATTCAATCTTTCCACAGAAAACTACTATTTTCAAATTAAATCTACTATTATTAATAGTTAATTAATTAATTCTATTACTATTAACACTATACATGATACACTAATAATTAATTTCTTTCTAATTAACACCATTTTAGCTTGTAATTTAGTTATCCTAACTTCAGAACTTAATTACTTTACACTAAAGCACTACTTAATAATATCTTTTAACAAGGATAATGCAAAATGAAGGCAGACAAAAAATACTGAAAATTTTTTTTTAAATATTTAATGTAACATACCTTAGAATATATCAAATTAGATAATGATTAACAGTAATTCACCAAGATTAAGACATCAAGGTGGTACTTTGAAAAGTATCCAATTTTCTTCCTCTCAAACTGGAAATATTTTTCAGGTGTATAAGCTTTCAGATTTTCCATACAAGAAATCCATCTAAACTGACTTTATTTCATGTGCTACTAACACACAATTAAGGCATGTGTCCCACTTAGGTATTTTTAGTTCCTTCTCACAGACTACATGTACAGATTTATTTTAGGATATAATTATCTATCCCCAGTGTATATGTTTATAAATTTTAAACTCTCACAACTTTCACCTCTGAGAAACCAATGATGTAGATAATTCCTGCACTCTGAGATGATGTCATAATTGTTTTTGTGTATACAATGTCATATTCTCTGTCTACAGTATACAGGTTTATTTTAGGATATAATTATCTATCACCAGTGTATATGTTCAAAAATGTTAAACTCTCACAACTTTCACCTCTGGGAAACCAATGATGTGGGTAATTCCTGCACTCTGAGACGATGTCATTATTGTTTTGTGTATATAATGTCATATTCTCTGTCTACAGTATACTAGGTTTATTTTAGGATATAATTATCTATCACCAGTGT